TGGGTAATTCTGTTTTGCTCCTCTAAGAGCCCGACTGATGTAGTAGACTGGCCTTTGAACAGAGCTGTCTTCCCTGATAAAAGCTGCATTGACTGCGGTGTTTGACACGGCTAAATAGAGAAAAAGGGGTTCGCCTGTGATTGCTTGAGAAAGGAGGGGGGTTGGCCATGCACTATTTCAACTGCTGAAAAGCCTCTTCGGATTCGGCCGTCCACTCAAACGTTTGCCGAAGAACTTTGAAGAAGGGGAGGCACTTATTCGCTGCGCGGGAAATGAAGCTGTTGAGGGTGGCCACTCGGCCAATAAGCCTCTGAACCTCCTTAACCGTTCTGGGAGACTGCATTTCAATCAAGGTCTTGAACTTTTTAGGGTTAGCTTCAATGCCCCGCTAACTGACCATGAAACCCAAAAACTTCCCAGATCCTACGCCGAAGGCGTATTTCTTTGGATTGAGCCTCATTTGGTGCTTTCGTAGGGTAGCGAAGGTCTCTCGCAGGTTGGCCAGATGATCAGTAGAGAGCTTGCTCTTGACTAGCATGTCGTCGATATATACTTCCATGTTTCAGCCTATATGGTGATGAAAGACAGCATTGACTAATCGTTGGTAGGTGGCCCCAGTATTTTTCAACCCAAATGGCATCACACAATAATGGTAGGTACCTCGGTCAGTGATGAAGGAGGTATGTTCCCGATCAGACGGGTGCATCAGAATTTGGTTGTACCTAGAGAAGACATCCATGAAGCTGAGCATTTGATGACCGGCCGTGGTGTCAACCAGTAGATCTATACGAGGGAGAGGATAGCTGTCTTTGGGGCAAGCTCGGTTGAGGTCGAAGCAATCGACACAGAGTCGCCACTTACCATTATTTTTATGAACCAGAACCACATTTGACAGCCATCTAGGGTAGTCCACATTTGTGATAAACTGTGCTTCAAGGAGCTTATCTACTTCAGAAGCAATAAGGTTATTGCGCTCCGGGTGAAAGATGCGTTGTTTTTGGCGGATAGGTCAGAAATGGGGCTTAATGCTAAGACGGTGTGTGGTGAAAGAGGGATCAATACCCGATATATCGGAGTGGGTCCATGCAAATACATCGTTGTGCTCAATTAGGAGGGCAGTAAGATCGGCCTTGGCCTGGGGGGATAGTTAGCTGTCGATCTTGGCAGTTTTGGCCGTGTTGGTGAGATCGATGAGGACCTCGACAAGCTCTTCCACTGGTTCCCCTCTGACCAGCTCGTCCTCGTCTCTAACGTCAAGTCCTTTAATGATCATAGCCTCCCTGAACTTGACTTCTTTAAGTGAGGCGACATAACATTCTCTGGCTACGGTCTGTTCTCTCCTCACTGTGCCAACCCCAAGATTAGTGGAGAACTTAATGGCAAGGTGGAAAGTGGATGTGATAGCTTGGAAAGCATTTAGGGCGGTGCGGCCAAGGATGATGTTGTAGGCAGAGGGACAGCCAACCACAAGGAATGTGAGTAACTTGGTGGTCTGTCGAGGGTACTCGCTGATTGTGATGGAAGATCGATGAAGCCAATGGAGGTCACCCGGTCGCTCGTGAAACCGACCAAAGGGGTTTGGAGAGGGGACAGACTTTCTTCCCCGATCTTGAGCTGGCGGAAGCAATTGAGGAAGATGATGTCTGAAGAACTACCGTTGTCAATGAGAACCTGTCTGACCTTGTAATTGGAGAGGAGGGCAAAGATGATGAGAGGGTCATCATGGAGGTAACGGATGCCTGTGCAGTCGGCGTCTATAAAGGTGATAGGCTCGGTCCACTGCTTAGGCTGTTTGGAGGGTCAGTCCAGTGTGGTAACTTCTTTGTCTGAGCCCTGTCTTATTTTTCTGAGTTCTGCCCACTGGGCCAGGCGGGATGGTCCTCCACAAGCAAGCCCGTCGGAAATAACTCTGATTTCTCCAATAGGTGGGGCAGGGTTACCTTGTGCCCGAGGTTGCTATGGGGGACGGTCATGACCTTGGTTAGGTTGTGCTGGTTGTCGGGAAGGGGTGTGCCGGCGGTTGTTTCTAATGGGTTCAGTCCATTGTCTCTGCTGAGGGCGAGTTTTCGTGAATCGACTGAAACGACCTTGACGAATCAAGCCCTCGACCTGATCTTTAAGGTTAACACACTCTTCGGTGTTATGGTCGTGGTCCTGGTGAAAACAGCAGTATTTGGACTGGTCTCTCTGATTGGAAGGAGTCCGGGATGGTTGGGGCCATTTTAGGAGGTAGTCACACTGGATCTAATTGGGGACTTGTTCCATGGGTGAATTGAGGGGTGTGTACCGCTCGAACCGGCCGGGCGGTCGGGCTGGTGACGACCGGTCGACTTGAGGGGGTTGGTCGGTATAATGAGGTGTTCGGTTATTGTATTGGGTGTTTCTGGTGTCTGAATCCTTTCTCTTCTCCCTAGTGGTGGGGTTTTTGGCTGCAGGGTCTTGGCGAGCAGCTAGGGAATCTTCGGCGTTCATGTACTTTTGGGCTTTGGATAGTAGGGCTGCCATGGAGGTTGGGGGATTTTTTGAGAGGGAGAAGAGGAAGTCAGATGACCGCAGACCGGCCATGAAAGCTGTAAGGATGACTTTGTCATCGTTTTCCGCTACCTGTAGGGCTTCAGTGTTGCAGTGGGTAACGAAACTGCGTAGCGACTCCCCCTCGGTCTGACGGATGTTGAGGAGTTGGGTTGCCGGACGTTGCTGGCGCTGAGCTCTAATGAAATGGCTGAGGAAGGAGTCACTGAGGTGTTGGAAGGTGGAGACAGAGTTCGTCGGCAGCTGACTAAACCAAAGTCGAGCTGACCCCTTGAGTGTCACGGGAAAAGCCCGACACATAATCTCGTCAGGGAATGCATGGAGGATCATAAGGGTTCTATAGGTCTCCAAGTGGTCGACTGGGTCCGTCGTACAGTCAAAAGAGTCGATGGTGGGCATTTTGAACTTGGGGGGTAGAGGTTTGTCCCTGATAGAAGTAACAAATGGGGAGTTGGCTGTAGTAGATGGTTTATGTTGTATGTTCTGCATGACCCCTTGGAGCTGGAGCTTCATGGCTCGGAGTTCTACGTCTCAGAGAGGGATATTGTCACCATCGAAGGGCAACGGGGGCTGGACGCTGCTGGCTTCTCCTTCAGGGGTCAGTGCCGGGATCAATGGCTGTGGGCCCCGAGGTGGCAGGTATATACCTGGGGGAGGGGGTTGTAAGCCTTCCAAGTTGGGTGGATTAGGCTGCAGGATAGTGTGGCTCAGGGCTCGTTCTTGGTTGGGGGGAATATCTGGAGGTGGTCGTGGAGGCATAGGAAGGTTTCTTTGGAGAAGAACATTAATCAGGGCTTGGTTTTGCTCGGCCAAGCGGTTAATGCTATTGGTGAGCTCGGTGAAATACGGTGGTGGGTTATTTGGATTGGGGGGGTCGGCTTGATGATCGGAAACATTGGGGTGAGAAGCCATGGATCTAGTCGTGACCATACACCTTGGCAGGTGGTAGGAAAGGGGTTATTAGAGAAGGGCCTCCGGCGACAATGAGCACAACTGGCACGCCAAGTAAGAGGTTCCCACAGACGGCGCCAACTGATGATACTACAAGAGACTTGGATGGATCGGACTGATCCACGTTTCTCCAACCGGTATCCGAGTGATCAAGCCCACCAGAGAACCTGCACAAGAGTTCAACGGGGAACGGGGAGTCCCCCAGCGAACCCTCCGACGAGCAAGTTAGAAAGAGAAGTAGATTGTAGAGATAGATTAGAGATAGAAAAGCTTAACCTTTTTCTTATCTTCAATGTCTGCTTATATCCTCTGGTAATTATTTCGTTGTCCCTTCTGGCCTGTTACCTTGGCCGAAAGCCTATATTGTAGCTTCCTTTGTTCAAGGTGAGGGCGTGCCGTCCCGACGGAGAGGGGTTATCGCAATAAATGCTGTAAGGGGGCCTCATTAATGGCGATGTGCCGTGGCAATAACTTTGCAGACCTTTGTCTGCTGATGTGGCTTGCCCTTCTCTTGCCATGTGTCTTGATGTCATTGGTTCTTATTGCTACATGGGGTTTCAGCAGTGCTGGGCTCTAGTATTTGAGATATGTATTGGGCTCTAAATGGTGGGCTATAATCTTTACGGGCTTACCCATGTCATAAAAGATATTCTTCGTAGAATAAAGGAGAAATTTTTTTCCATAAAATAAATGAGGGATTTTCTCCCTAGAATAATGGAGAAATTTTCTCCACAAGGGACTATTATTTTTTTATTATTATATATCAGTTTCAAAATGAAAACATGTCCAAAAAGTTTGGAAGGATGATTTGGTCATATTACCTTAAACAGGATTTAATGAAATATTATATAAGAAAATGAGTTAAATTGAACATAACATTTAGAAATAGGACTTTTTGAAAAAATGGCCCAATTAATTATACTTTTCATCCATATAGTTTGATCCAAATTTTACTTGTCTCTATAATTTTAAATTGACTAATTTAATTCATATTCTTTAAATCTAGTTTCTGTAAAATCAAACTTAAAAGTTTAGGGAAATCGGCTTAAGGTCCCACCGGGTAGCACAACAACCACTCTGAACAGGCGGATTTCGGAGATCCAAAATTGGGAAATTGACTCAATTCATATATATTATGTATAATTGTATCTTATTCACATATATATTCTGTGTTCCTGTATTTATTATAGAATTGAACAAACAAACACCGGACTATGTCACTTCAAAACTAGAATGCATGGCTTGGTGCAATGAAAAACAAAAGTTAAAAGATGATCTACTACTTTCTTCCAAACATTAGTCCAATTCTATTAGTTCAATTGTAAAATTTTAACCTAATGACTTTGAAATTATAGGTACACGTCATAAGACAATTACTTTATCCACTATGACAAAAATAAAATGTGTACCTAATCTTTTCTCTCCCAAACACATATTTATAATAATCGAGCGTTGTTTTATTATACTTGAAATCTTCATCCACAGTGGGATCCTCAAATAATAGCACTAACCCAAAATAAATATAATTAGATCTATCATTTTCAATCTAACCCTCATAGCAGACTCCACAGCAAGTTGCATCTAAAATGACAAGTAAAATAACACTGTATCACAATCAAGCCTATAAACATAAAACATGAAAATTACAAAGGCAAAATATTAACAAAAAGTAAAATTTCACTGAAGAATTCTTCTTTCCGTCAATATTAAAAAAAGTATTGTAATATATGTTAGCTTTGTACATACAATGCTGGAAAGAAGCGAAAACAGTGTTATCTCAAACTTTCATTCTCTTAGGCGGGCCTTGGTCAATGATTGGATCAACTGGAGGAACTTGAGCCTCTGCCGGTTGTTGGATTTCAGAGCCGTTCTCTCCTTCAGCAGTCGGAGGTGGTGCATAGCCTTCGGGAAAAGGTGGTGGTGGAGGGGCGGGTGGTAACTGCACAAATACACACACACAAAATAAATAAATAAAGTGTATACTTACGAACTCTGATTATATAACTTCACACCTCTTCAGAGAAGAAAATGATCAAATTCCATGAATCCTTAATTTCTGCTAGCAAACTCGAAAATTGGTTGCTCTGACATTTTATGCAACCAAACTGGACCTATCAACCAGTTTCTCCATAACTTTAACCAAGCTTTACACATCTTAAATGAGTAATGAGCACTTGCTCTGACATTTTATGCCCTATGTAATATTTATACCAAGGGAGGGGAAATTACAACTCAGTGGTAGTCTGAGAAAACAATTACCAATTCATGAAAAAGTTTATAATTATAATTATTAATATTTATAAAGTTTACCATTGATTTGTAATTATTTCTTACAAATACCACTGATGTGATATCTCCCCTTTATACTAACAAATGTGATTAATTGAAGTGACTTTTTTGTTACACTTTACACTCTGTGTCACCAAAAATTCAAGTAGCCAAAGGTGAAAAAAACAATGAGAAATAAATTTAAGTACCCAAGAAAACCAAAATTTTCCCAACATATATTACATTTGGGTCTCAAACCTAAGGATTATAAAGCTGTGATATCAACAAAAATAACGACTCCATCATAGTGGCTACAATTGTGGTTGATCTCAAGGCATCAAAATTCTCCATAACTGCATAATTTCTTCCTTTTTAATTCTCAGCAATATAAAAGCATGTGAAGAACTTTGTTAAGTTACCTTGCGCTGTACAGAAGCAAGAATAAGATCTATTCGCTTAACTTCCTTGAAGTCAATCGTTTCTTTTCCAACCTTTGATTCAAAGGTTGCACTCTCACTGTCAGCATCTACTGCATTCACAAAATATGTAAAAATTTAATTGAAGGATTAAGGTCAGTATGCAGCAAATAAATACTTTGAACAAGAAAAAGAGACTATGACATGGGAGGAAATAACTACTTCCATCATTCGCTTAACAAAAATCATGAAAGACTGGTGTTAAGAGAACTCAATATCCAAGAGGTTGACTTAATGGATTTCAAATGAGAATCATATGCGTATAAGCCAAAACTTGGCCACTAAGTTGTTCGAAAAGATTATAAAAACGTAAGTTGTCAAATTTATGCACATAGAAGTGCAGATTAACTATACAATAAATGAATAAGAACTACTCATTTTTGTATTCAAGAAGAGGAATCATAGACATAGTAATATCACACCAAGCATCATGGTAAACTCATTATGGGTATTTGAGTGCGGTAGTTACATCAGGATGGAGAAGATCAAGATTAGTGAAATCAGTTATCCATGCCAAGGAGATAGATCCACAAGAGCTGATGCACCTTGCTTTATAAATGAAAGGATGTTACTTCTTAGATACATAACGGTATGATCAATAACACACAATAATCTAGTTAGAATGTAAAAAGATGGAATTTAGGGTTAAGATTTATGAAGAAGAAGAAGTGAAAAGAGAGGAGAGAAATTTTATATCTATTGAATAATCTTCCAGAACCACCCTTTACATCAGAAAGTCAAATATATATACAAACCCTAACATAACAATATGACCATCGTACCCTCAACTTAAGTAAATATTAACAAAAGAATAAAATAACAAAATAAGTATTCGAACACTCCCCCTCAAACTGGAGCATAGAGGTCGAACATGCCCAGCTTGACGGATAAACGATGAAACGAAGGCCGAGCCAAAGACTTGGTTAGAATATCACCCAATTGATCTTCAGAATAAACATAAGGAGTCACAAGTTGTTTGCGGAGTAAGAGATCACAAATAAAATGTCAATCAACTTCGATGTGTTTGGTGCGTTCTTGAAACACAGGATTATTGGCAATGAAGATAGCAGCCTGATTGTCACAAGACATGGTCATAGGAGTGGGAACAGAAAAGCCAAAATCTTGGAGAAGAGACTGAACCCAAAGCATTTCAGAAGTAGAATGGGCCATGGCTCGATACTCAGCCTCGGCATTAGAACGAGCAACAACAGTCTGTTTCTTACTACGCCAAGTAACAAGATTACCGCCAACAAAGGTACAATAGCCCGAGGTGGAACGGCGATCAGTCTTATTACTAGCCCAATCAGCATCACTGAAGCCAGTAACAAACAAAGAGGAAGATGGGCGGTACCGCAAACCCCGACCTGGAGCACGCTTTAAGTATTGCAAGATACGACATATAGCCACAAAATGAGATTGACGGGGAGCATGCATAAATTGACTAACCACACCCACGGCATAGGTAATATCAGGATGAGTGACAGTGAGATATATTAACTTCCCAACCAACCGACAATAACGACCAATATCGTGAAATAAGTCGTCGGTGTCACCAGCAAGCTTGACACTAGAATCCATGGAAGTATCACTGGGGCGAGTGCCTCAAAGAAGAACGTAACAACCGATGCTGCAATAACTGATCCCACAAGGTCTTGAGACTACTATAATAATCAGGAAGTGACCGGCTAGACTGGCGCATAGCAAAAATCTGCTCAGATAGCTCATAGACCCGAGAGACATTACTCTGATTTGAAAAGGATTTAGCAAGGGAGTCCAAAATTTCTTTAGAGGTATCACAAAATTCCACGATAGTAGCAACCTGTGGTTCCAAGCTATGCCAAATCCAACCCATAACACAGGAATCCTCACTATACCAATCATCATAAGCTCTGTCATCAGTGGCAGGAGGGAGTTCGCTAATGAAGCGAGATTTCTTCTTACCACGTAAGAAAATTTTTACAGCATGCGCCCAACCCAAATAATTGGCACCATTCAACTTCTTGGTAGTAATAGATTTGGGCACGTCATCATCTTTACTTACAGCCATTGCTTTGGTCTCAATTTCAGCCATGACAGACAATCACACAAAATATTCAACACAAGAGTATGAAGGCAGCAAAATTTTTGCAAATAGGACTTATCCACACCAATCAATACGTACAACCAAGAGTATAGCCACTAGAACTAGTTCAATCAACAAGAATTCAACAAAAATCAACACTGTAAAATCAATCAGACTTTCCTAGAGAAATTTCAGTCCCTATGCGATAAGTTTCAATGGGGGAAAGCTGGAAAATAACACTGCCGACTATGTGTAGTAGCAGAATAAGGCCAAAAACGAAGCAAACATCAACCCAACAGTAGCAAATCAACAAATTAATGGCAAATAACAGGGAAGGGCAGAGTTTCGTCTCCTAGAGAGAGGATTCCAGCAAGTGGATTCAACAAATAACAGTTCCAAATCCAGATTTGTCGATTGAGACCAAAAAAACCGAAAAAAATTCAAAAATTGAAAACTCACCTCAGAGACGTTCAAAAAATTCCACAAAAATCACCATAAATCTGAGGATTAAATTTCTAACCTAGGGGTGGAAGACCCGTCCGTACAGTGCTTACGTCCATAGTTGTCAAATCGGGATTCGAATCGTGAATCGAAATGGCCACGTACCGAATCGCGAAGCGAATCGAATCGAATCGTGAATCGTAAGATTCACTTACGTTTTCTAAATTACATAAAAAAAACATATTTATACACTTACATATTATAAATATGAAATATTTAGATTTAAAGTATAAAAATGTTACTTTACATGATGATCACGTGGTCTAAATAGGTAAGACGCTTCTATGGCAAGAGATATGGGTCCGAGCCCCACCGTGATCTATCATCATATATTATATTTATGTATTTATGATATAATTTATGTAAATTCACATCACAACATATATGTATGGCAATTCACATTCATCATGAATAAGGTTCACAACTTAACAAGTTCTAAACTTTTCAAAACTCTAATCTATACTTGTAAAGTAACTTATGTCAAAAAGAGACCACACAAAACAAAAGTTAGATTAGACAAAGTTAAAAATTCCAAAAAGTCTTCATTTCTTCATTTCAATCTTCATCATCTCCAAGGTCAATATCATCTTCATCATCTTCATCATCATCTACCATAGTCACTTCATCAAACTCTTCTTCCTCTTCCTCTTCCTCTTCCTATTCCCCACCTTCAATCAATTCAACTTCATCATCATCTTCAAATACTTTTCTTTTTCCTTTATCGGTGGCATTTAAATTTCTTGGTCCTACATTAATAAAATTAAATAAGGTTATGAATGAGCAAGTAAATGTGAAAATATAGAAACTAAATCTTTGAAATTAACTTATTTAAAAATTAAAATATAGAATTATACCTCTTTTTTCTCTTTTTGCTAGTTGCTCCTTCATTATCTTCGAAACACTCTTGGATGTCCATCCATGAATGATCTTCGGGTAGTCATGGATCCTCTTTCTCGGTAATCCATTCATCATCGGATTCCATATCCGATAAATAAATAGGATCATAAGTCTCACCCCTTTCTTGTCTCTTAATTTGCCTCAACTCAAGTTGAATGTTATACTTCACAAAAACCAAAGCATTCAATCGTTGTTGCTCCAACCAGTTTCTTTTTTTCGAGTGCACATGATCAAAGTGCTCCAATTTCTCTCACACCCGGTGGCACTACAAGCAAGACTTAGCACTTTAATAGCTAGCTTTTGAAGCTCTTTGCACTCTTCTCCGTAACTTTCCCACCATAGAGCTGTAATTAAATGATAAAGAGATGTTAGAGAATAATGCATGCCATTGCCAACATAATTGTTGTGAAATTGTGAATATACAATTTCATAATAAAAAATTTTAACGAGCTGTTTCTTTTCCCTTGTCAAGATGGCCATGCTCATACCAAACATACCCTCGGCCTTCTTGAACTTTTCTAATTGCTCATTAACCTTCACTCTATCCTCCATATCCGGATACATCCTTTCAATGGTTCTAAATAAACCAATTTTCACCTCCGTATCCGCAGTGAAGTTTTCTTGATAATGAAACCTAGAAAGAAAGATAACTTCATAAATAAATTCCATTACACATTTTGTATATAAGTCACACAACACAACACAAATAATTAGACAAAAATAGTAAAAAACTTACATCGGATTAAGGTAATATGCTGCCGCATGCAAAGGCCTATGGAGTTGTAAATCCCATTTAGTATCAATAATTTCCCAAATGCGCTTATATCTACCCCTCACATGGTTCAAGTTTGAAGCAATTTCTTCCTTCGCTCTATCCATAGCTTCATAAATAAATCCCATTGCCGACTTTGCATCACCATCCACAAGCCTCAAAATTTTCACCAAAGGGAGCACACACTTCAAGCAATACTTGATTGCTTTCCAAAATCTAGCATCTCCCAAGATTGTTCCTTGTGCCTTTTTTGCATTAACAGATGTAGAATAGCTACTTCTAGCCCACTCTTCTGATGCAAACATAGCTCTAAGTTGGAGCTTTCTATCTTGGAAACTTTTTAAAGTAAGGAAAGCGGTGGCAAATCTAGTGACCGTGGGTCTTGTCAACTCCCTATTCTTTGTAAATTTTTGGAACAAATCAAGCACCTAAGCATGCCTATAAATGTACACAGCGATTTCCTTGGCTTTAATTATTGTATCTTTGAAAACCGTCAACTCACCTATGTCACTTAACATTAAGTCAAGGCAATGTGCCGCACATGGGGACCAAAACAATTTAGTCATCTTCTCTTCCAATAATCTACCGGCACCCACATACGCCGATGCACTATCAGTTACTACTTGAACCACATTTTCTTCACCAATTTCATTCACAATGTCATCAAGCATCTCAAATAATTTCATAGAATTTTTAATTACACCGGAGGTGTCTATTGATTTAATAAACACTGTTCCACTTGGACTATTAATAAAATTAGTAAGAGAGCGAGACTTTCCATCAGTCCATCCATCGGACATTATAGTGCAACCCGTCTTCTTCCATTCTTTTCTATACACTTCTAAACTTGCATTCACATTATCAACCTCTTTTTTCAAAAAAGATACTCTCACTTCATGATAACTAGGTGGCTTCAATCCCACACCATATTCACCAACCGACTTCAACATCTTCTTAAACAAGGGGCTTTTCACTAAATTAAAAGCCAATGCATGCCCATAAATGACTCTACAAATATCTCTAATTACGGGCTCCCTTTGCTTCATCATTTGATTCAAACTTTGTTGCTTTACCCTCCCCTTTGTGACATACACATCCATAGTTCCCCCTTTACTTTTCCCCTCAATATTTTTTTCTTCAAAACAATCAACATCTACAATGTTGTCTTGTTTTTTTCCACTTAAGAGTTGTAAAAACATATTCATAACATCTTCAGAAACTTGACTACAAGCACCAACATTATCATGAGTTCCGGCTAAATGATTTTTCATTTGAATCACTCCACCCCAATAATCTTTTCCACAATAATTACATCTCAAATACATTATATTATCATCTTTGACACGGGTACAATGGTCCCATGTTGGATCTTGTTTCCCACTTTTTTTTTTTGCTTTTCATATTTTTTTATCCATTAAAAAAAAATATATATTTTTTTAATGTCCCACCCACACAGCAGTAGCTTTAGTGCTTCTACAGTCCACCACAATAGACAATAAAGTAATGGATACTTCTACAGTCCACAATGGACAATAAAGTAATGGAAAAGGAGGAGTATAGAGTGAATATAGTATTTTATATTACCTATATGTAGTTTGTCTGGTAATACCTCAAACAAAATTGAAGACACAAGAGACGACAAACTTTTATACAGCTTTGAAGACGAAGGGCCACGAAGCAGATTCCAGCAGCAAGGGACCACCAAACAGTGAGAAGAGGGACCACGAAGCTCTGCGTCGAATAGAGAGGTGAGTCTTTCTAGGGTTATGTCTGTTGGGAGTAAAAAGGGACCATGGGATACCTTGGTTGGACTGTCGTTTAGTCTTAGAAGACCAGGCGACCCATCTTGTGCCAAGAAAAAGCAAAAAAATTGGGCCAAAAATTAAATTTTTTCCATTCCGGTCCAAGAAACTAGGTCGACCCGCGACAGTAAGGAATCGTGCGATTCAGCGATTCGTATTGTGAATCGATCGATTCAGATGCGATTCTATACCATTTGCGATTCCATGTACCTATTCGAATCGATTTCTATGTGTATCGAACTGAATCGTACGATTCAAATCACGAATCGTACGATTCTAACAACAGAGCTTACGTCATGCTGACGTCATCGTACGGCAGATGACATCAGCACGTCTTGGTTACCTCCAATCAATCTTCAGAGTCTGTAGAAATCTTTCTAATGAAGAATAGATTGCTCTGATACCAAGTTAGAATGTATAAAGATGGAATTTAGGGTTAAGATTTAGGAAGAAGAAGAAGAAGAGAAAAGAGAGAAGAGAGAAATTTTACATGTATTGAATAATCTTCCAGAACCACCCTTTACATCAGAAAGTCAAATATATATACAAACCTTAGCATAACAATATGACCATCGTACCGTCAACTTAAGTAAATATTAACAAAATAACAAAACAAGTATTCTAACAAATCTATTATAAGAGCAAGAACTCCATGAGAGACTGTTGAATATTCAACCAAAACTGGCTTACATCAATAACCGGAGTTGTGACCCTCTCTTTTACTCTGCTTATGAATGAACTGATTGGGCATAACAGAAATCTGCCTCATTGCATATTGTGTTAGACGGAGAATATAGTTCTAGTTGATAATGCCAAAGCATAAAGTTAACCCAAAGGTAAGAACTGTCAAAGATGATTTATACAGAAGGTATTAAGGTTAAGTACAGCTAGTAAAAAGCGCGAGACAAGCAAGGGGATTAAATGCCAGAAGATACCTAAAGGAGATCATTTTCTAAATCGGATCACCCATATGAGAGATTGATTTGTAAATGACATCACTTGCAGCAATAGAGCGACACGAATGAAGGGAAATACTTTGAGAAGTAGAAACAACACAGTGATTTGTGGTACAAAATGCTAGCCTTGCCATTATGACACCTTGCATTTCTAGCTCTCTCATCGTTGATGGCCTGCCTTTATCCTTCTAGGCTTCTAGCCATAGGTGATTGCTAAGGACAACAGGAAAATAAATTGTGTAATAGACCCCAAATGGACCATGTTGAGCTTTGCTCATCCTTAGTTTTTCACCTTAGTTTTTCTCTTTCATGCTTTACTAGAAAGGAACTTGTGCCGATTGAGAATAGATTATCATGTCATTTCTACATATATAACTTGAACCAGTAATGCTCACTATAACGATTGACTACAACAGTAAGCAGTGATCCAAAAATGTACATACAATATAACAATGGAGTCAAACTACACAAGCAGCAAATTGCAAACCGAAACAGTTAAGATTTTTATTTTTAGAGGAGCTTATTGTGTTTTGTTTAGCATCTGATCAATAAGTCGGTGGCTTACTGGGGAAAAACACTATGATAAGAAATAAAAGAGGCCATAGAATTATTGATGAGAATTATACATGCTAATACATGCTATTGAATTTACAAAAAATTTTGATAAAACAAAGTGAACTTGTTTTATTCCTACTGAACACTCAGTATCTCTAATTCAGTGTAAAATGCAGCATTCAAATTTCATCAAGACATCCAATGATTTATTAGAGAATTCTCGAGCACCATTTGCAAATGAGGAAATTTGAGCCAAATTAAAAGAACTATGTGCAATCCAACTAACCATGCTGAAAAAAGACAAAAGTAGCAATAAGCATTAGTGGTCTAAAACATAATGCCAAATGTTGAAAAATTTTAAGACCAAACTCAGATGCAAAGGCTGTAGAAAGGAATGACTTTAAAGGCCGTCCAAAGAAGATTATAGCATTTTCTTGGTTTTTTTTTCCAAAAAATTTAAAATTTACAAGTTTATTGCAATGCAGGGCAACTGATTACTTCAACTTATTCATACTGTAATCCATGTGCTTAGAAATTTCAGAAGTAAACAATAATGATAATCTTCATATTATAATCAGGACATAAAATGCTCACATACCAAAACCAATCTTCTCTAGCTTTGAGGCTGCAGTAGTAAAAGCCTTTGAGATATGATACAAAGCTCGCCCCTGTCACATGACAAGATGCAATAGAGATTTAAGTTCTCAGGAATAAAATTTAAAAAAAAAAAATGGATATATATATATATATATCAATGCTGTCTTATCATCATCCAGCGTCTATAGTGACAAATGCAGATCCAAGCTGAAGTACAAAGACAAAACTAACTAGAGCTTCTATACAGAAAGGGAGAGACAGAGAGAGAGAAAGGACTTACAATTCGAGCAGCAAAAACATTGCAAAGTTGTGGTGCTTGGTATATAGAACCATCCAAGATATAATAAGTTAGCATTGGTGTGACTTTCTCCGGACTATCCCTCTTTTGCTTACGGAAGACAAAGAGATGAGGCTCCATAACTTCACTCAGCATATATTCTGTGCCTGTCATTTTCCTATCAAACAGAATAATCATATTGAGTTGGCAACATGAATCATCTTTGACTACAAAATGTGACGTCTTTAGTTAATGCACAAAATTTAATTTTTTATTAAAAAATCGATCCAATCCTTCCTATAACCTAGTATACAAGGAAATCCAATCTGCCAATTCCAGAATAAGGCAAATCAGGTAAGTATTTACAATGGTTGCCGATATGAGATTGCACAAATATGCAACCTCTGTGCAATGAAAATAGCATCACCAATAAGGTGCATTATTTTGACGGACGAATTGCAGCAATGACATCATCAGTGAGGATACGAAATCATGCATGACATCCTGATCTCTAAACCTTTTTTCATCCGGTAAGTTGCTAAAACTATTCTAAATCAGGGTTCTGAAAGATTTAGCTGTTACTGAAAAATCTATATTTACATTTCATGTGATCATGTTTCAAAACCGTTTTCTTCAAAATTGCCCTGTTTACTATAAAGCCATATTAGTTGTATATCACACTCTCACTACTAAATTTAAATTAGCCCTCACACTGGGCACCCTAAAATTGTTTGAGAATTTCCAAAACAGAATTGAGTTTTGAAATTTCAAATTATTCTTAATAAAAAAAAGAGTAAACTTATTACATGGTGGTGTTTGGGAAGTGTTTTTTTTTTTGTTTTTTTTGGCTAAAAAAACACTAAAAGACAAAATTGGTTAAAAAATCAAAAAAAATAAATTCAGACAAAATATCACATCAACCTCATAATCATTTTACTTTTTCTCTCACAAACATCACATCCAACTACAAAAAAAACCCAACTATCTTCCCAAACACAAATTTTAACCTCCTAAAATAATCAAAAACTAAAAAAACCTACTAAAATAACAACTATCCAAACGCCCACAAAGAGAGCATCAAGATGCGCTAACAAAACCAACCAGCGTCACCAAACCTACATCTCTATAGATATAAAGAATCAATAAACTCCACAGAAAAAAATAGATCCGTTGCCCTGACACCCAACTATACAATATCACAAAAAAAATGAATCCTTCAAACGAGGCAACGGAAGCATTATTAGCCCTTGAAAATTCCAACGATTACACTCCAACCAAACCAACCACATTAAACACCGACACCCCCCACCCCACCCCCTCCTCCAACTGCTCAGCACCTCCTTCACATTCCCCTGCGGCACCCAATCTAAAAATTGCATACTCTTCATGAATGAATGATTTATCCAAGAGGCATCTTCTACATTTCATTACAATTATTGTGCAAGCTCACTGACAAAACTAGCTCAAGAATTTCATAATGTGTATAAGTATGCAGTCCAAATTGAGAATTCTACGTAAAATTGCAATAAAAGTTAGATCAAAACAAGCTCAACAAAATTGAAATTAACAAATTAACAATTCATCACAAAGTTCCCAAACAGAAACCCTAGAGAGATAGAGAGAGAGAGAGATTGATTACGAGAGGTGAGAGAGGTCGAGAGGGTGAATGGAGCGCATACGGAGCTGTTCGTTGTTGCAAGACCAGTCGTAGAAAGGAGAGAGAGCGAAGTAGTCGAAGACCAGGTTTCGATCGAGAGGGTAAGTGTTGAGCCACAGTTGATCTCTGAAGCATATTCCGGTCATGTCCGTCCCCGGAGGCGGTGGCGCCGCCGGCGCATTCCCTTCGAAGTTTGGATTTCCGGCCGCCGCGTTCGGCGGCACCATCGGCGTCGACGCCATCTTCGTCTGTCTCTCCCCTTGAAGGTTCTAACTTCGATGGACCTATTATTTAGGTTTGATCGGACGATCCTGATTTTCTATTTTTCTTTCACAGCTTATATTGCTTATTGGCAGAGCAATTTTTGTTGGGTCCAGAGCGAATACAACTGCGTTATGCAAAGATCAACACTACTTTGTTCTACATTTAGAAATTTTTGTAAGGGATAAAAAGTCAATCTTATTGGTAAAATGTTGTTTTGTAAAGTAAGTTAAGAGTGGGTGTTTGAAAAATTATTATTTTAATAGGTTATTTTAGTTTTTAATTATTTTAGGAAGTTAAAATTTTTGTGTTTGGAAAGAAAGTTAGATTTTTTTTTTTGTAGTTAGATGTAATGTTTATGAGAAAAAAAGTAAAATGATTATGGATTTGATGTGGCATTTTGTCTTATTAATTATTTTAGTCAAAAAAAATCAAAAAGTTTTTTTTCCAAACACCAAGTGTAACTTTCTGATTTTTTTAATTTTTTTTTAAAAAAATATATAAAAAAGTAAAGATGTAATATGACTTAAAAGAGATTAAAAGCTAAAAAAATTAATTTAAACCTCTTTTCTACAAAAGGCCAAACTCACTCTTACCTTATCAACCCAAAAATTAATTTTAATTAGAGTTCACCTCAACCTTACATTACACTAATTAATTTTTACCGTACAATCACCAAACTAAAATTTTTTGGGTAAGTCTGGGTCATAGCTTTTCTGTATTGGTGATGGTCTTTGTGAACAAAATGTACAACCATCTAAAGCGTGGGAAATTTTGTATGTTTGAACAAAATAAAAATGAAAAGTACAAAATTACACTTTGGTTGGGAATTTATATATATATATTAAATTGTGATAGAGTGTAATTTAAAAAATAATTACAAACTCATTAAAATCATATAATCTTCGAAGGAAAGTCACGACTCCAACATCGTGAGGCCATAAGAAAGGTATGGAACAACTCGAGTTAGGTGGACTTAAGCCGGGTTTGGTTTGAATTGTTACCATAATTATTAAAATATTTATTTAATATATGTTAATTGAACCGATCAAAATTATAGAAAACAAGTGATTGTCTCAATTTAGACATGCTATTTACTTTTCATAAGTTTATATAATTATTTTAATATTACTTAACTTGTATTAAACTTATAAAATTTTACAACTGTCAAGTTAAAAAATTATACCAACCCATATAAGAGAATAGTTTATTTTCTTTAGCAAAATGGAATTTCTTTTATTATTTAATATAACTCCAAGCCAATCAAGTAACTATATATTTCTTATATATTGCAAATCCTTTAACATGTGAAACATCTAGTCAGTAAAATGTGGTTAACCATTGACATTTTAACAGGATTGAATTTTTTTGGAAAAAAAACCATACACCATGAACACCACTTTTGTTACAACAACAAAATTTGATGGAAAATCAAAGATCCAAACACAGTTTGAATCTATTAAAAAAATATTTGCAATTAATCCACACATTATGTAAATAATTCAGTAGAAAAAATGTCCAAAAGTTGTAGAAAAAATGTCCAAAAGTTCCAATTAATGGTAACCTAGACAGTTCACAGAGTACAGAAGATACAGAAAAATGCACTAGTTTAGTTAATACATAGCTTTGGAAGGAACTACATTCATGAAGAATAGTTTCAATGATAGTTACACTATGACAACATATAGTAACTGTGGGGAAGTTGTTTTTGGAAATACTCTTCTGATTTTGGGAGACGCTCGTGATCCACCGATAGGCACCTGAAAGGAAGTAAACACTCCGGTCGGGGGTGCCGGAATTAGCACTCCGACGGACAAGTCAATCTCTCGTTCTAGATAACTTGTATTCTAAGTTAAACGCCACAAATATCACATACCTCTTTCCGGTTGATGTCTCTTCTATTTATATCTTTTCTTCTTTGGGCCTCGGGATTAGTTCCAAATCCAACCTCCTATTCGGCATATTTTGTAATAAACCGATCTTCACTCGGTCCCTTGCTTAATCGACTATCTAGCCGAATAAGGTTGGGTCTGAGTTTCCGTGGCAATGGCCGAATGTTTTGAATCTTGATTCTTTAATGTTCGACTCTCCGGAATCTCTACGACTTTCAATATTCGGCCCCCACAATTGCCCCCCAAGCACTCCACTAGCGACAGTTGGCTGGAGTGTTTGGCTTTGAACTCGAAGAGTCAGAGCCGAAATTCGGCAACTGATCATATTCCAACGCGAATGTCTGTCCACACGCTTCTCGGTTATCATTTCAACTTCCCGCCTCTTCGTACACTCTCATTTATTGTGAGTTAAAATTTCGATGTCTTTTCAAATAGATACACGCTTTTAGACGCCCGTCGCTGGATTGCCTTCCGAACTACCTCTGCGACCTTCTACTATTCTTTACCTCCATCGCCACTTGTAAGTTCTCTCTTTCTTTGCTTTGTTTTTTGGCTTAGCATAATCATATTGGCTAGGGAGAATGGCGAAACATTTGAAAGATCTCCTCTCACCGGATCGAATTTCTGGCTTCCGACACCATTTTTCCATCCCTGATGACGTCTGTCCGTCTTTTGTGGCAAACGGCACCCTTGATATGGAGAGGGTTGATGAAAACACCATCGTCTTCCCTCTTTTATCAATCGCAAAAGGCGGGGTCCGTTTCCCCTTTCACCCACTCCTTAGGGCCGTGCTTTGCCATTCGGAGTTAATCCCTTCGCAGCCCAACGTCAATTTCTTTAGAATTGTGATGGGGATTGTCGCACTAAACCACCGCCTTGGGCTTAACATTGGCATCCCCGCTATTCGGCATTGCTACGCCTTGGCCAAGTCTTCTGGTCGGCACGGGCATTATTTCCTTAGAGCCAAAGACACCGACCATCAACTAATGACTATGCTTTCCAGCTCTGGGAAGCGAGTCGATGATGTTATGGTCGTCATCCAAGGAAACTGGGAATTCGGCGAAGGTGAGGATCGCCTTGATCGTATTCCTAGACGGAGGGATGAACCAGGTGGCCGAGTATCATCTTTTATTCATTTGTTAAATTTATAAAGCTTCATTTTTGGGACCTTATGGTTTTGCTTTTGCAGGGAACGATTTGAAGAAAATCTTGACTTCAACTGACGATGCCGTCCTTTCAGAAATCCAGTCTGTGCTCAAATACTTCGGCTGACAGAGTCTTCAAAAGCAAGGGAGGGCGACCCACGTTCTGCTCCGCTACGAGCCGACTTATACGACCTTTTCGACGGCGAAAAATATCCCAATTCCGATCGGTGAGGAGTTTCTTGTCGCCCGTATCTTGACTGACTTAAAAAATTTGAGGCAAGTCGGCTGCGAGGAATCAGATTTTGAGCGACCGGAAGTAGCTGAGGCCGCCGAATCAAACGAAGCCGAAACAGAGGTTGATGACGCTTTGAAATTAGCATTTGAGGAAGCCGGCCTCAATTCGGCCGATAATCCGTTCACTTCAGATCGAGAGAACCATCCACTTGATGATATTTTTCAGGGTTTGAAGGATCTTCCCGGCACGTACCCAGAAGATATGGTTGGGCTGAACCTCACTAAGCTTGCCAAGAAAGCGAACGCAGAAAAGCTAGCTGCGCGGCGAAGGGCGGAGGAGATTTGGGCTGCCGAATCTCAGTCTCAGTCTCAGTCTCAGTCTCAGTCCTCCCTGCCCGTTATTGAGGAAGTGACGATAAAAGGAGGAAGCACCGAAACGGAACCCTTGGTGCAGGCCAGTGTAGAAGCTGAGCAAAGTGTGGAGAAGCGCCCTGCAGATATCGAGGCCGGCTCAGAAGAAGATCGCGCCGACAAACGGCCTCGTTTGGAGGAATCGGATGTGATTGTACCTTTTGTTATTCAGCCGAAGTTGAAAAATACGCCGATCTTCTCCGATGCTTCGGTAATCAAAGATCCAGCGGTTGCACTTAGTTTGGCGACGTCCGTTTCACTGCCTGCTGATAAGGCGACTTTTCGGGCGGAGCCGGATCTGGTTGCAATCGCGTTGGCCGCGTAATCGGCTCTTTTGGTACATATCTTGACTCTGTCTTTTCTCCTTACACATTATTTTGGTTTTAACTTCCTATTTTGCAAACCGTCGGAAGGATAGCTGACATGGGCCGTCGCTATCATGATGCCGTGAAGCAGATTGGCCGTTTACAAGCAGAGGTTGAGGGCCAAAGGAGTAGGGCGCAGATCGAGGGCGCTCGTGCCGAAACCGAGTTGGAGAGAGCCCGTAATGCTGAAAATTTGAGATCGAGGAAAAGACGAATGCGAGCGACGCCGCGCTTAAATTGGCCCAGGAGGTGAATTCTAAATTGAAGGCTGAGTTGGAAGAGATGAAGGCGGCGAAGGAAACAGCTGACCTGAAGGTTTCCAGCACATTTGATGCTGGGAAAAAATCTGCTTATGATGAATACATAGACGAAGTCCCCAAGTTTGAGAATCGGGGCTTTAAACACGACTGGCTAAAAGCCCTTGCTGCCACTAATGTGTCTTTGGCTGTGCCAATTCCATATGAGCAAGTGGATGTTGAGCCGCTGGAGTCTGATCTAGTCTCTATTATGGGAGATAGCTAATCCATAAGCATTTCATGGTGAATGATTGCAACTTTTAGCTTTAGGATCTTAGTCCAAGTGAGATGAATCAGTCCAATAGTTTTATCTGTTGAAGAGAAAAATACAAACATAATTTCAAAATCTTTGATCATATGATATACATAATTATGTAGAGTTCTAGAAATATGAATCAAATATTTAGTGAAGGGTTTAAAACTTGAAGCAAGAGTGTTTAACATACAAAATTGGACTCCACTTTTTGTCATATAATACACTTTAACAAACATTTGTAACATTTCCACTAGCCTTCTTAGTTAATATGGAAGAATGCATTATCAGATTAATGCATTGTGATTAAAAAAAAAATTAATAATAAATATGGAGCTGAAACAGAAATATTTGTGATAAAAAATATCAAAGAAAAATTATTCATATGTGAATTTTAAAAGAGTCTGCCACATAGGACCAAAATCAATCCTCTATAGAGAACACTAAAGCAAAACAAAGGAGTCATAAAATCAACATCTCCATCAATCAAATATAACTCGAATCTTCTGAATATTTC